TTTTAGTTTAAAGTCCAATTTGTTGGATATTAGGATTTCTACCACCGCTTTTTTCTTGGGTCCATTTGATTTGAAAAATTTTTCCCAACCCTTAATTCTTAGGTACTGTCTGTCTTTGAAGTTGAGGTATGTTTCTTGTATGCAACAGAAGGATGGATTCTGTCTTCTTTTTATTTTATTTTATTTTTTATCCATTCTGCTAACCTGTGTCTTTTTATAGGTGAGTTAAGACCATTAATATTGAGGGATATTAATGGCCATTGATTGTTCATTCTTGTTTGTTTTGGATTTGGTGGTGGTGGTGAAATTTTTTTCTTTTGTTTTTGCAGATGATTTTTTTAATTTGAATTAGAAACAAGATTGTTTTACATGTCAATCCCAGTTCCCTCTCCCTCCCTTCCTCTCCTACCACCCCCCAACTAAAACCCTACCTATCACATATCCTTTCTGCTCCCCCTGGAGGGTGAGGCCTTAAATAAGGTGTCATCAGAGTCTATAGTTTCCTTTGGGATAGGGTCTAGGCCCACCCCCGTGTGTCTTGGCTCAGGGAGTATCCCTCTATGTGTAATGGGCTCCCAAATTCCAGTGATCTTGAAATTATGCTTTTTAACAACACAAATAAACTCTAATTATCTCATCCACCACTTATTGGTCATCTTTTATTAGATTCACTCTTAGACAATATCTTTCACAGTTTGGCTTTGAGTAAACTCCATCATAATCTCAATTCATGGCTTCTGGTTTTGCCTTGAGCAACTTGGTGCATAAAAATGTAATTGACGTGTTTCTATTGGCTTTCCAGAGTACATTTTTACCATTCTGATGATTCTTCAAACCAATTTCACCCTCTCAGACTCATTAAATAGTCCTTCAGCTTTTCAATGTGCCATGCTCTTCCTTTTGTTCAATGATATTGGATTAATGAAATTAATTTGAGGTATGTCAACTTCCCAGGACATTAAAAGACACTTTAGAGTAATAAATACAAAGATTCTAGGAACGTTAAGAAATGTAAGTAGCAATAGTCATTGTGTTGTACAGAAAAGTGTGTGCTATTCCTTTTAAATCAACTCTGCTTCTCATTAAAGTCCCTAGAAATCCTTATTTTGACTCTCAATAGGTGATTTTAAACAAGAATATTATGTAAATGAAATTACACAAAACACAGCTCTTTCCTTATTTGGCTTTTCTTCTTTTTAAAATTAATTTATTTATTTTATATCCTGACTGAAGTTTCCCTTCTTCTCCCATCCTCCCCTCCCCTCAGCCTCCCCTCAATCCACTCCTCCTCTGTTTCTGTTCTTCCCATGGGTGTCAACAAAGCATTTCATATCAAGTTGAGATAGTACTAAGCTCCTCCTCTTGTATTAAGGCTGAGCAAGGCAATCCAGTATGAGGACTAGGTTCCCAAAACCAAAGCATTATGAACAGCCCCTGCTCCCACTGTTAGGAGTACCACAAGTACACCAAGCTACCCAACTGTCAGATACGTAGAGAGTGCCTAGGTCAGTCCCATACGGCTTTCTGTTTGTCAGTTCAGTTTCTGTAAGCTCCTATGAGCCCAAATTAGTTGTTTCTGTAGGTTTTCTTATGATGTCCTTGACCTCTTTATCTCCTACAATCCTCCTTGCCCCTGTTCAGCAGCATTTCCCAAATTCATCCCAATATTTGACTGTGGCTCTCTGCATGAATTTCCATCACTTACTGGAGGAAAGCTCTGTTATGATGGTAGTCACCAGTCTGATTAGAGAAGAAGACCCATTCAGGCTACCTATACACTATTGATAGGAGTCTTAGCTGGGGACATCCTTGTAGATTCAAGGGACTTTGCCTTGCATGAGGTTTCTACCTGACCCTGATAAGCAACCCCTCCAGGCATCCCTTCCAGTACTCTTCCCCTCCACAAATACCCCAACCTGATCCTTCAAGTTCCCATCTCTATCCACAATCCACCAAAGAGTTCTCTTCTATTTCCCCTTCCCAGAGAGATCCATGCATCCCTATTTGGGCCTTCCTTGTTACCTAGCCTCTCTGGAGCTGTGGATTGTGGCATGGTTATCATTTACAGCTAATATCCACTTATGAGTGCGTATATACCATGTTTGTCTTTCTGGGTCTGGCTAACCTCACTCAAGATAATTTTTTCTAGTTCCATCCATTTGATCCTTTGTTTGTCTTGCTGTTTTAGGCAATGTTTCACCATGTACCCTGACTGGTCTGGAATTTGTCTATGCAGACCAGACTGGCCTCAAACCCACCTGCCTCCCAAGTGATGGGATTAAAGTCACACACAACCACACCTGACTTAGTTTGTCTTTCTTATTAAAGAATTCATATTATAGTTTTTACTCCCCTTCTCATAGTTAACTAATTTTGCCTTTGAACTTTTTTACTGCGGGAAAGTTTTTTCTCCTAATCTTATGTGTACTAGGCTTTCTTTTGGACCACCAAGCAGCTCCCAAAACATGACATACAGACTTATTAGTTATGAATACTGAGCTTTATCTTATGCTCATTTCTTGCTAGCTTAATCTGTTTTTCTTTATTTATGTTTTGCCTTGGGTTTTTTTTACCTTTTCTTTCTGTGTGTCCTATTCTGTCTAGCTGGCTGGTTTGTCGCTGGCTGGTTGTCTGGCTGGTCCCAGGCATGTCCCTCTCTTTCTCCCTCGTTTTTTTCTCCTCCTTCTTTTCTCCTCTCCTCTCCATCAAATGCCCCTTGCCAGTAAGTACATTTATAACACAAACCTTATACCTACAGCTCAAGGAATATAGTGGAAGAGAAGACAGAAAAAATTTAAGAGCCAGAGGACCAAGAGATCTGCAACAAGACAGTATCTTCTTTAAAAAATATTTAGGAGACAGAACAGAGGGTAAGGAGAAAGGGATGGATATGGAAAGAGTTTCAGTAAGGAGTGAAGTGAATATAATCAAAATACAGTATATGAAATTCTCAAAGAAATAATAAACTACATTAGTTTAAAAATGAATGTTAGCAATCTCCAATAAATGTTTTTTCATGCTTGTTATAAAAGAATATGTGCGAGTAGTCACTCTAACTTTCCAATCTCTACAAGTTTATTTGGACTAATCCAATGCTATGTCTTCCTTACCGGTATCCTCCACCCTTAATATCTATTACTAAACATTTCATTCAAGTTCCCATCTATAAATTGGAAAAATCATACTTCTTTTGGATCTTAACAAACATCCTTATGCAACAAACCTCACCTTTTGTGCTTGCTGGGACTTGAGTCTAATTATATACCCAGAAATAACAAAGAGATAGTTAGGAAGGCCCCAGGAAGAAACTTGAGTGTTGCAAGGCAGCTTTATTGGAGATTCTGTAACAGTTTGTCTAACAAAGTAAAGTTTTTCCTTTGATGAGAATGCTTCTACTGACAAAAGGAACTTAGCTAACTTTAGGGGCTTAGTGTCCTCAGTTCCTTAGCATGTGCCCTTTTATCTCCATGTCAATTTTGAATATGCCCTTCTATCCCAGTTAATGTCTTCACTTAACAGCAGACAACCTATACGAGGTTAGAAGTTCTATTTAAGTTGCAACTTCCTCAAATGATAATATTTAGATTCAATTTTTCATCATGTCAGCTCTGTCTCTACAGGTAAAAGTCTTTCAGGGAAGATTTCGCTATTTTCAAGTAACGAATGAAGCACTTGAATTAAAAGTCTTTAATTCATTCCTTTCCTTTTCCACTTGGCAAAATGAGGAGCAATTGTTCAAACTCTGTAAGCTCACTAGTTTTATAAGGATACTCTAGGGTACCCAGCCAGGTGTGACAGTACATGCCTGTCATCTCAGAACTTGGGAGGTAGAATCAGGAAGATCAGGAGTCAAAGTCCAGTCTCAGATACATGGTGGGTCCAAAGACCCCCCCATGTGTGATCACCAGGATATTTGATTGAGTGTAGTCAATAGTGATTTTTACACCTCTTGCCACATCATGCTATGTGCTTTTTACTACTATAAATAAAGACATCAATGCTCTTAAATTTAGTCACATTAGAGAATAGATTTCATAACCCCAAAACTAATTCATAAAACTTGTGAGAATCTGTTTCTCTGTTTCTCAGTAGCAAAAAAAGTCAGCATTTGTCAGGGTTCTCCAAAATTAAAAATAAAAATAAACAGAACATATGTGATATGACATTCTCTATTTTTTATTTTGACATTATAATATTACAGTATTTTCCCTTTCCTCCCTCCAAACTCTCCCATATATTGCTCCTTGCTCTCTTTCATTTCATGGCCTCTTTTTTCATCAATTGTAATTTCAGAAGAGAAGGTGAAAAGATTCTAAGAGGCAGAAGATAAGGGAGTTTTCCAAGAGACTGCCTCTCCTAGAAATATCAGAAGCTACATCCATGAAGTTTCACCAACATGACTGCCTAAGCATTAGCTGAACAACAATGACACCAACAGACATGCTAATGTGGAAGGGGAGAGTCCATGAGACCTCAAACCTACATGAAAAACTACAGGCAACTAAGGGATGCTGAGAGCAGGAAAGATCGTCTTCCCCAGGGAGGAGAGAGCCAATTGGTTATCCAGTACCAAATCGTCAGCCCTGAAACTATACCTACATTATACAGACATCATACAAACTGGGCAGGTTGTATTTTCTCTTTCTTTGAAGTTAACTGTTTAACATAGTTTTTCAGAGTCACAAAGCTGGATCATCAGGAACACAGGTGCTGTAGTCTTGAGGCTGGAATGTGCAGTGCAGGCAACAACTTCAAACCTCAAGTTACCAGTCTTCAGGCAATATTCCTTTTGCTGGAAAACCTGTGCTTTGCTCTCAAGTCCTTCAGCTGATTACATGAGGTCCATTTTCACTACTGATGTTTGTCTCTTTTTCTTAATAGTAACAAGTTAAAAGTCAATTGTATCTGTAAAATGTCTTCACAGCGCCATTAAATATGAGTGTTTAATAAAACAACTGGGCATCATATCTTACATTCCTAACAAACTAACTACAACAGTCTCAGAAATACATTTTATAAAAAAGATATATGTTGAAGATTCTTAAAAGAATTCCAATTGGGTAAATAAGCAACTTCAGCCACGCTGTTGTGTCATGACAGAAATTCATCAATAGCTGAACTTGCCTATGAGAGACGTTAAGACATTTGATGCATTCAAGTTGATAAAGGAAACACTCAGTAATTACGGCAGCCCAGATGATCTTAGAAGCTACTCTGGCACATCTAACATTCCTTATGTGGCGTGTCTCTACTGGAAGAAAGGTAATCAGAAAAGCCTCAAGGCTAACACAGCTGAGTAAAAGGGAACTGGCGTGTACATTTGCAATTTGGAAATTCTGCCTCAAGCCAGATTGAAAAGAAGCTGAAGATGTTTCACTCTTTATCATACCTGCTGTGATGGCAGAAAAAATGCTGCAGCCAGCTAAGATGTCTGCCTGAGCTATGTTACTAATAAACACCACAGTGGATTTTCTGGATACAGAAGGAAATGTCAGTATCAGCATGACATACAGACTGGCAAGCAATCCCAGAAGAGTGATGATGGTATTTGGAGAAGGTAGGACTAGATATTGGATGTATTTGAACACCAGGTACCTTCGGAGGTCTTTCATATGGTCTCGATGTTTTAAAATGTGAAGGTGGGCAGGATTCCTGGAGAAAGGTAGGGAAGAAAAATGATATAAGATTATATGCAAAATAACATAAAGCTCTTGAAACTATAGTTCTGTGCAAGAGATTTAGTGGTGTTTATATATTTCCCATGGTTAGACCCAGTTTCATATTGTGTCACACAGGCATATGAAATGACATCTTACTTTTGGTGGCAGTTGATGGAAAAAACAGAATCTTTTTTTTTCCAGTGCTGGGTGTGGTGGCCCACACCTTTAATAGAAGCACTAAGGAAGTAGAAGCCAGCAGATCTATGAGTTCAAAGCTAGTCTAGTCTACGTAGTGAGTTCCAGGACAGCCAGTTCTGTGTTAGGGAGACCGTTTCTCAAACAAAACAAAACAAATCAAAACACCTTTCTTTGATTTCAAAGCTTTCTACATATAAGCTGATGTTTCAGTGTTTGACTTTTTCTTCTGATCACTTACAGTAACCAAAAAGTTGAAAGAAATTTCCAAGAGCAGATAGATTCCTGTATCAGAATCAGGAAAATTCTTGGAGCAGATGTCTAGTGGGGAAAAACAGTACTCTTCTTGATTACTGCACTAGAAATGAGAGGAAAAAGTTACAGTTGTAATTTTTAAATGAAATTAAGAGAGTGAAAGAAAATATGATATTTAAATGTTCTCTCCTCCTTTACACAGAAATACTTTTCAAAGCTAACAATTGTTTCTTCTACAGCCCCCAAATAATTCTTCATATTGGGATCCTTCGCATTTAAAAGTAGCATACCTAGAACATTCTTTCTGTTCATACGAAATCTCTATGACATCTGTCATATCTACCATTGTGGCACTAATGAAGAGCTTTTTGTGAAGCAGGTATTGAAACAGTGACATGGTGAACCTCCTCATATGGAAATCATTACACATTTTCTAGTTAGGATTATCATTGTTGTAATGAAACAGCATAATGAAAGTAACTTGGGGAGGAAAGGATTTATATGGCTTATGCTTCCATATCACAGCTCATCATCAAAGGAAATCAGGACAGGAACTCAAACAGGGCAGGAACCTGGAGGCAGGGACTTATACAGAGGCCATGGAGGGGTGCTGACTACTGGCTTGCTTCCCATGGCTTGTTCATGCTGCTTTCTTATAAAACTCAGGACCACCAGCCCATGGCCATCTGCCATCAATCAATAATTAAGAAAATGCCCCACACTGCTCCAAATGATATGACAGACTTTTAAGATCCCCCATGGACAGCCTCACCCTCCCTGGGGAGCAGAATGGGGATGGGATAGGGGATCGGTGAGGGGCAAGGTAGGAAGGGAGGGAGAGGAAACTGTGATTGACATGTAAAACAACCTTGTTTTTAATTAAAATAAAAATAAAATTAAAAAATTAGGCAGAAATTACATTTAAAAAACTATAAAAAAAGAAAGAAAATGCCCCACAGGCTTGACTACAGTCTGATCTTATTGGGGAATTTACCCTCCTTTCAGATTACTTTTGCTTGTGTCAAGCTGACATAAAACTATCCAACACACAGCACTACTAAGTGTTTTCTCTCTGTGTTAAAAATATCAAATAGATAGTAAATATTAATTCTGATTTAGTGTTTTGTTAGACAAAGCAGAAGTTAATCTGAAATGTAATTTGATGCAAAGTGTAAAGTAGGGATATTGTCACTGCAGAGAAAACTACATAAGCATCTATGTCTCTGATAGTGTCTTAAAATTCCAGAATGCTTAAAACAGCATGACTAGAAGAATATATACTTGGGAGACACAATTTAAAATGTCTAAGTGTTCAGAAAGCTAATCTGAATGAGTTCCTTGCTGAAGGTTAAGAATTAGCTTCAGGGTATCAGGGCCATTAAGCTGTGTTGATTTTTGATTTCCAAAGAAGCAGCAGCCAGGCTTTTCAGTCAGATAATTCAAATTTTTGATGTGCTTATTTGCTCATGGAGTGTTCTGTTTTGTTTTGAACACCATGTTAAACAAAGATCAATAGCCACTTTGCAACTTTTTAGTTGGAGTCCTGCAAATACCATCTCTAACAAACAAGGGAATTATGAAGCACTATGCATGATGAACATAGCTGAAAAACTACTCAATAAAAACTGTAGCAAACCAAATTCAATAACATGTTTATAATCATACATCAGGATGAAAGAATGGCAGGTGGCTTCTTTTAATATTTTGCACTGCCTTAAAAAAAGTGATCCTAAGATTGACATGGTAGTGCATGCCTTTAATTCCAGCACCCGGGAGACAGAGGCAGGCGGATCTCTGCAAGTTGGAGGCCAGCCAACAGTCAAGGCTGTTATACAGATAAACCTTGTCTTGAAAACGGAAAATAAGACAGAAAAAAGTTATCCTAATTTTAGTGATTAAAAAAGCCAAGGCATTCATAGGCTCAATAACTTGACCAAACTCACATACAATTGAGAAATCAGAGGACTTCTAATACAGGCTTGTCTAACCAACAATTTTTTGTTCTTTGCATTGTAACATGTTTTCTAAGATTCAACTACAACTTACCTTTAGATCATTTTCATTAATGTGGAATTACAGGTTAGGATGACAAAACACAAAGAATTTTTCAAAAAAACGTCAACCTTGGTGTATTTCTTCTCTCCCTACCATTAAATCCTTTGCTATTAAAGTAACCTTGCGGTAATTTTACAAAAAACTCTAGGCAACTAAGGAATTCTGAGAGTGGTAAAAATTGTCTTCCCCAGGGAAAAGCACAACAATTGGTTATTCAATAACAAATGGTCAGCCCTGAAAGCACATATCTAATTAACATGGAGACTGAAAAGGGATGTTTAGAAATATGGACATGTATGCAGACATAAATGCAATAAGAATTTTTTTTAAAGTCTACAGGTTTGAAAGAGAATGAGGAGGAGATATGGAAGGGTTTGGAGAGAAGAAAGGGAAGGGGAAATGGTGTAATTATGTTTCATTTTTTAAAGTGGAAGGAAACAAAAAGTAACTTAGGTAATTGGCACAGGCATATCGAAAGACATGGGTCTCATATACCTTCTTTTCAGCATCACATGGAACATTCTCAAAAATCGACCACATACTCAGCAGTGTAGCAAACCTCAACAGGTACGAAAAAAAATTGGAATAATCCCCTGTGTCTTATCAGACTACCATGCTTTAAAGTTAGAAATCAAAAACAAACCAAAGGGCAAAAAACCTACCAACTCATGGAAATTGAACAACACGCAATTGCACCATTCCTGGGTCAAGGAAGAAATTAAAGACTTCCTAGAATTCAATGAAAATGAAGACACAGCATAGCCAAACTTATGGGGCACTTTGAAAGCAGTACTAGGAGGAAAGTTCATAGCTCTAAGTGCTCACATGAAGAAACTAGAGAATAGCCACACCAGAGAGTTGACATCACAGCTGAAAGCTCTAGAAAAAATGGAAGCAAACTCACCATGGAGGAGTAGATGCCAGGAAATAAACTGAGGGCAGAAATCCATAAAGTCAAAACAAAGAAAACAATTCAAAGAATCAATATAACAAAGAGTTGGTTCTTCAAGAAAATCAACAAGATAGACAAACCGTTATCCAAACTAACCAAAAGGCAGAGAGAGAACATGCAAATTAACAAAATCAGAAATGAAAAGGGGGACATAACAAACGACACTGAGGAAATCCAGAGAATCTTCAGGTCATGCTTTGAAAAACTGTACTCCACAAAATTGGAAAATTTAAAGGAAATGGACAATTTTCTGGACAGTTATCACTTACCAAAATTGAATCAAGACAGATAAGCAACTTAAACAGACCTATAACACCTAAGGAAATAAAAGCAGTCATCAAAAGTCTCCCAACTAAAAAAGGCCGCGAAGCCAGATGGATTCACAGCAGAATTCTACCAGAAATTCAAAGAAGAGATAATACCAATACTCCTCAAATTGTTCCACACAATAGAAGCAGAAGGGACATTGCCAAACTCTTGTTATTAGGATACAATAACCTTGATACCTAAGCCACACAAAGACACAACTAAGAAAGAGAACTACAGAAGTCATGGAACATTGACGCAAAAATTCTCAATAAAATACTTGCAAATGGAATCCAAGAGCACATCAGAGAAAACTCAACATAATAAAAGCAATATGCAGCAAGCGAACAGCCAACATCAAATTAAATGGAGAGAAACTCAATGCAATTCCTCTAAAATCAAGTACAAGACAAGGCTGTCCACTCTCTGCATACCTCTTGAATATTGTCCTTGAAGGTCTAGCTAGAGCAATAAGACAACAAAAGGAGATCAAGGGAATACAAATCAGAAAGGAAGAAACGAACTCTCACAATTTCCAGATGATATGATAGTCTACATTAGTGACCCGAAAAACTATACCAGGAAGCTCCTACAGCTGATAAACACCTTCAGCAAAGTGGAAGGATATAAGATTAACTCAAAAAAAAAAATCTGTAGCCCTACTATATACCAATGACACATTGGTGGAGAAAGAAATCAGAGAAACATCACCCTTTACAATGGCCACAAACAACATAAAATATATTGGGGTAACACTAACCAAAAACATGAAAGACCTGTACCATAAGAATTTTGAGTCTCTAAAGAAAGAAATTAAAAAAGACACCAGAAAATGGAAAGCTCTCCCATGCTCTTGGATAGGTAGGATCAACATAGTAAAAATGGCAATCTTGCCAAAAGCAATCTACAGATTCAATGCAATCCCCATCAAAATCCGAACACAATTCTTCACAGACCTTGAATTCTCAACTTTATATGGAAAAACAAAAGACCCAGGATAGACAAAACAACCTTGTACAATAAAGGAACTTCTGGAGGCATCACCATCCCTGACTTCAAGCTCTATTAGAGAGCTATAGTCCTGAAAACAGCTCGGTATTGGCACAAAAATAGACAGGTAGACCAATGGAATAGAGTTGAAAACCTTGATATTAACCCACACACCTACGAACACCTGATTTTTGACAAACAATCCAAATT